ATATGTTCAACTGCACATAACAACAACATATATGTTCAGATATATGTGTGTATAATTATGATATAAACACTTGGATGCAAAAAATATAATTATATATATACACATATATCTGATATATGTATATATCACTGTTCTGGTTACCTAGTGCCACTCTGACAATAATATACCACAAATGGGATGGCCTTAACTAACAGGAGTTTATTCTTACAGTTTGGAGGCTTTAAGTCCAAGTTCAAAGTACCAGGCTCCTGGGGCTTGGTGAAAGCTGCTCAGCCTTGGGGTCCAGCTCTGCCTCCTGCTCCCAGCCCACTGGAGCTAGAGGCATTTCTTCTCTCAGACAGCTACTGGCTGTTGAGACTGAAAAACCCAAGGTTGACAAGTAAAAAAGGCATAGTCCAGATGTTACCAAACCACACAGCAGGCCATTGTAAGTTCCAAGGTTGGCAGAGCATAGCAGGCTGTTCAGCAAAGGCACGGTTACATGCAGGGTCCAAGCGTGCCATAGGCTAGCGACCATTCCCAAAGCTTCTCCTTATATACAGGAAGCAGACCACATACCCAAAGGCAGCTACTCAGATGCTCCCAGTAGATTCCACCATGGAGTTGATTACCAGTCTCATCATAAGTAATACTACATCCAGCTGCCCAGCCACTCAACCAGGCCTAGCCAAGTTGACATACAAACAAAACCATCACAATCACTGTCATAATTTTGTTTACATCTCATTGTTTAGATTGTAATTACATATGTAAATGAATCTGATATGTATAATCTCAAATGCTATTACAACAAAATTCAGATTTAATTAATTAGGTTTATTCTCAGTTTCTAATTAGAATTGACACCTTCCATAATTATTCTTTTAAGAATGATTATTCTTATAAGAATTCTAATACTTGTGATCCTTTTCCACTAAACATGAAAATCTCAGATACTACTGAACTTTCATTGAGTTTTCACAATACCTGATACAGTAACTAAGGGAGTGTCTTTTTTGTTTTACCCCACTGAATCAAATAAATAAATTATTATTGGGAATAAATTTATTGGGAATGAATTATTGTCACATCTCTGTAAGTTTATATAGAAAATTTAGTTGAAATATATATTTGATATTTTGCATTATGAATGCATATGATTTTTTCCTGCTTCTAAAATATAATAATAACTATTTGACTTTTTCTTCCACATTCATGGAGATTCTGTCACGCCTCTCCAATTCAGGATATAATCACTATTATAAGAATTCTAATTAAATGTTTCTAGAGACATAAACATTTCTACAGCCTGAAATCAAAGCCTTTATGAGTCACCCTTCTACTACAGAGATTTTTGGACAAATGTGTCATCTGCAGCCTCAGTTTTAGACTGACTCTTATAGAATTCTCTCTTATCTTTTATTTCCTATATTTTTCTTCAATTCCTTCTTGAAAGGTAAAATGATTCAGGGGAAAGAATATAGGATTTGGAGTTGCTTGAATTGAATTTAAAAGTAGACTATTTCATAAGGTAATTGTGTGACCTTGAGCATTTTATATAACCACTCTGAATTTGTTTCCTCATCTACAAAACAGGACATTAAGCTTACATTATGATGTAACCTTTATGAAGTGCTCAGCCCCTCCCTGCTAAGAACTCAGTAAATGTAGATTCTTTTGAAATGTGAAAGTTACAAACTGAAAGCATAAACTACTTCATGATAAAGTTTACCCATGGTTATTTTTATGTCTTGAAGAAGACTAAGCAGGCTTCCACCTTTTGCAAAGGCAGATTCTTTTGAACAACTGAACAAAGAAATCTCATGTTGAACCTGACTCATTATTCTGAAACCAAAGAGACTCACTAAACTGTGAATTTTATTTCACTCACTCATAGATGTCAAAATTTATGTCTATAATTATGAAAATATTTGAGGGAAAAGCTGATCAAATGACAAGAATATGGTAATGCTCTTTCTAGGATATCAAACCATTTGCCTAGTGCTATGAAACCAAACCATATTTCTCAAGGAATATCTGTAATTTTCATCACTGGTAGGATTAAAAAATATAGGTGGGTTGGTGAGCTTCAGATATCCTTCCTCATCCTCAGGAGTAAAGATATGACCAAAGGGTCAACAAAGTATATGCCTCTATCTCATACATGAGGCAGAAAATCTAATACAGAAACCATGACTGAAATAACTTTAAAAATCCTGGAAAATTTATAATTTTATAGTGTTTATAAACATTATCACCCAATATTTTGTCATAATATAGCACACACTTTTTAAATGAATAAAAACATAATAATACTAGTAATAAAAAGCACTGCTATTGTGTGAATTCCGATTCTTAGTGACCCTCACTGGGTTTCTGAGGTGATAAATCTTCATGGAAGTAGATTGCCCTGTTTTTCTTCTGGGGAGTGGATGGTGGGTTTGAACACCCAACCTTCTGGTTAGCAGTCAAATGTCTTATGCACTGTGCCACCAATTGTTTTCAGGGAAAACAAAGAGTGTGTAACCTTATAGACATTGTCCCACTTGAACGTTTATTTATGCATGAAAAATACATAGAAAGAAGCAAAGTAGAAGATGGTCTAAAAAGGAGTGGGAGACAAGTTGAGTCTCTGTAGCATCCTGCAAAGATAAAATTCAAGGTGTAATCAGGGGATTGAAAATAAACATGGGGTTCAACGATATGTTCGCATGTTTGCATAACATGCTTACAGAGGAAAAAGTGTTTAGAATAAATACCCTTTTCTGAAGAAACTTAGGGGAAAACAAACATATGCCATAAAATGCAATAGCCCAGCAACATTAGTTCTACTTAGTTTGCAAATCTCTTCAGGGGTTTCTTCAGAGCAAATTTGACATCTTTATTCCTTAGGCTGTAGATGAGGGGATTAAGCATAGGCACTAAATGGGTATAAATTACTGAGAAGAACTTCCCCTTTTCCACAGAATCAGCAGAAGAGATCTTGAGATGTATGAACATCCCAGAACTATAGAATAGAGCAACAGTTATCACGTGGGAGCTACAGGTGCTAAAAGCTTTGGACAAACCTCCAGCTGATGAGATGTGGATGATATTGGAAAGGATCAAAGCATAAGAAATGAAAATAATAAAGCTGGATACTATTACAACTGTGCTCACAATAATCGAATCCACCAGTTTATTGACATCGGTGCTGCTGCAGGAGAGCTGGAGTAGGGGAAAGATGTCACACATATAATGGTTGATGATGTTGGAATCACAGAAAGACAGTCTTATCATGTCCCCTGTGTGGGCCATGGCACCAGCAAAGCCAAACATGAGCAGAGTACAGACCTGAGGGGACATGACAACTGTGTAGAGCAGGGGCTTACAGATGGCCACATAGCGATCATAAGCCATGGCTGTCAACACATAACACTCAGAATGGATAAAGAAACAGAAGAAAAAGAGCTGAGTCATGCATCCTGCAAAGGAGATGATATTTTTCTCTGGCAGAAAGCTCATTAGCATTTTAGGGGTAAGAACCAAAGAGTGACAGAGGTCTATGAAGGACAGATTGAAGATGAAAAAGTACATAGGGGTGTGAAGATGAGAATTCAGGCAAATCAAATTAATTAAGCTCAAATTTCCCATCACAGTGACCACATAGTTCACCAAGAAGAGAAAGAAGAGGGGTATTTGGAGTTCAGGTTGGTTGGTCAATCCTACCAGGATGAATTCAGCTACTGAAGAATCATTTTCCATAGTTATTCTCTTCAGGGAATTATCTTTAAGGAAATGGGAGAAGAATATCACATTAGAGATAGTCCCATATCCTTAGTTAGGACTGGTTCTATGTTGCCAGAGAAACTAAGACTTGCCAAGTTTTAGCTTTCTTCTTTTATTCACACTTTCCTTCTATACTTTGAAATATCAACTGTAACTTCTCATGTTCCCTGTGCTGACACTGTCCAGTATAAAGTCTTTTAGCAAGAGCATCAGAATTGACCTCTGCACTTTAAAGACAATGGATAATATAACATCTTGAAGAGATGAATGGGCTGGCCAAGGTCAAACAGCAGGAGAACAAAGGATCCAGGAATGGTGCTTGGGACCACTTCCTATGGAATTCCTGAAGCTCTGAGAGAATATAGTCACCAAGATCTTCCTTGCACCTAGGACTTAACCCATTCTCTCCCTCTTATCTTTGCAATACTCTCAGTACTTGGCTTAGTGAAAGGGCTAAGGTTGTGCGTGGATTTCCTGCATTCCTCCTACCCATCCCCTTCATCAAGTCTTACCTCAAAATTAAGCTGAATTGTTCAAGAAGGGCAGATGGCCTTCCGAGTCCTCTACACTCTTGCAACTGTGGGCAGGAAAACATCAAAACAGAGATTACTTGGTTACTCAATTTCTGTCTGGAGACCTCACTACTGCTGGCCTTTAAATGCTCTTTTCTCCTCATTGTTCTGAGTAAGACAAAAGGTTCTGATAATGAGTGAAACAATATCTTGAGGACAAACTGAGCAGCTGGATTAGTTTTTTAGAGGAAAATATGTATTCTGTTTGTGAACTTGCCTGTAATATCTTAAGGGTGTGGCAAATACATCCAATTTTTTCTCTAAACCATTAACTGACTTATAGTGTGCGTTTATGTTCTACATGGATATCAGCAGCTTGATTGGGAGCTTAGAAAATAAGCATTTCACTTAGGATTTGATGCAAAGTTTGGTCAGGCTATCAAGGGAAGGAATTATTAAATTTATGTTTACATCATCTGTTAATGAGTTAACCTTGCTTCCTTTGGGACTCAATATTCTTCAACTATCAATTCACATTAGGAATTTTGAATTCTCTGACCAAGAAGGGAGTAGTCTCCTTTGTGTTCTCTACACTATCCCCTAGGAGCCATGTTCAGTTCTAAAAGAGGAATGTTTAGGGCAGAGTCATTTACTATTTCCAAAACTTTCTTACATTTCTCTGTAAATTATATAGTATTATGTCTTAGTTTTAACCCTTTTGTGACCTGTGGGATATATATTGCCTGCCAATATTTTAACGGATGCACTGTGTCAAGTCAGATTTCTTGGGAAGCTGCTATTCCAGTTGTATTATGTACTACAAACTGACAGGGACTTGTATAATTGCATAAATCTAAAGCAAACCTGCTACCAGAGTCTACTTGGGACATATGTGTCCCTATAATTGCATCAAAATCTGTATTACCTGAAAAAAAATTTCTCCCCTCATTTCAGTGTGCCTGCCAATACTGAAAACACATGAGGTCAACAAAAAATTTCAAAGCAGAAAATAGTTTGACTATGAAAGTGTTGATGCTGTCTATCTTCTGGTATCTATGTTGTAGTTGTTTTGTGTTGTCGAATGTATTCTGACTCGTAACAACCCTATATGACAGAGTAATATGGACCCATAGGGTTTCCTAGACTCTAATCTTTACAGGAGCAGTTCTCAAGGTCTTTTATCCCATGGAGTACCTAGTGGGTTCAAACTGGTGACCTTTTGGTTTACAGCCAAGCACTTAGCCATTGTGTCACTGGTGCTCCTTTCATGCCTATAAACAGTATCATAGAGAAATAAGACTATAAGATCTGGAGTTGGACTGATTGAACTCGAATTCAAACTACAACAGAGCTCTGGTGGTGTAGTGTTTAAGGCATTTGGCTGTTAAACAAAAGGTCAGTGGTTCAAATCTACCACTGAGCTGCTCCATGGGAGAAAGATAGGGCAATCTGCTTCTGTAAGGATTTACAGCCTTGGAAACCTAATGGGGGTCACTATGAGTTGGAATAGACTTGATGGCAGTGAGGTTTTTTGTTTGTTTGTTTGTTTTATTTACTACTTGTGTGATTTTAGACAATTTACTTAACATGTCTGAGCCTCTTATCCTTATCTACAATATGAATTTACTAATAGTTCGTTCTTACTTTCAAAAGTTATTTTAAGAAAAAATACCTTATAACTTGCACTACACTTAGAACATTCCTGAGCATATAATAAATGTTAATTAAGTGTTGGACCCCCTGGTGGTGTAAAGAGTTAACATGCTCTGCTGCTGACCAAAAGTTTGGGTGTTCCAGTTCACCCAGGGGAGCCTTGTAAGAATGTCCTGATGATCTACTTCTGAAAAATCAGCCACTGAAAAACACTGTGGAGCACAGTTCTTCTCTACTCTGACACACATTGGGTCACCATGAGTCAAAATACACTTGATGGTAAAAGTCTCCCCCCACCCCATTATTTGTATCTATATAACAAGGAGCTCTGGTGGTGTAGTGTCTAAGACATTTAACTGCTAACCAGAAGGCTGGCGGTTCAAAACCACCAGCCACTACTCAGAAGGAAGGTTGGGCAATCTACTTCCATAGTGATACCACCTTGGAAACCCAAGAAAGGTTGCTATGAGTTGGATCCAAGTTGATGGCATTGAGTTTGGTTTGGTTTTGGTTATATCTATAACATGGCTTTCTTTCTCACTTAAAATTCTGTTTCCAAATGCTTATAATGCAGCCCCACTTGAAGGGTGCCATTCTGAATTCAGCATTTCCTTGTGGTCCCAGAACTATTTCTAATTATGTTTATGCCAATGATTCTACCTATAACCAGTTAAGTAATTCAGAAATAGTTTATCACATAGGATCCTCCTTCTCACTCACCATTGGCCTCTGGAGTTCAAATTTGTGTGCCTCTATCTCCTTATATTCTTTTGACTGTTCCTCTTCATTTTACTTGGCTAGGCTCTCTTACTTCAGGTTTACTTACTTCCAAAAGCTTCCTAAACTGGTATTCTACCATCACTTATTGTGTATTAAATTTTTACTGCTATGTACAGCAGCGAGGTTTTTTTTTTTTTTTTTTCTTATGTAACACATTACTAGCAGCTCTGGTGGTGTAGTGCCTAAGGGAATTGACTGCCAACCAGAAAGCTGGAAGTTCAAACTCACCAGCCACTCCTCAGAAGGAAGAGTGGGCAATCTACTTCCGTAGAGATACCACCTCAGAAACCCAAAGAGGGGTGCCTAAGAGTCACAATCAACCTGATGGCAGAGTTTGGTTTGGTTTGGTTTAACACATTATTACTACAAATGTAGTCACTTAAAAGTCCTCATTTGCTAATCACAGTTCTGTAAGTCAGAATTCTGGCATACTACAGCTAGATTTTCTTTTATGTTTTTTTAGGATGGCTGGATTTTCTGCTCAGACAAATTCAAGTGTCAGTAAGGCTATATTTTCTTTTGGAGACTCTGGGGAAAAACTTTGTTTCCAGGATCATTCAAGTTGTTAGTAGAATTTAATTCCATGTGGTTGTTGGACTGATGTCCCAGTTTTTTGTCTGGCTGTCAGTCAGGGGCTATTCTCAGTTTCTGTAGGCAGCCCACATTCTTCATTACATCTCCCTCCATCTTCAAGCTATCAATGACTTCACAAACCTCTCTCACTCACTTCTATTCTCTCTCCTTTTTTCCCAATAAATTTATTGTTTCATATAATATATCTCTTAAACACCTGACAGGTGGTGCAAGGAGTAGTTCAAGAAAAGAA